GTTGCCTGAATGGGGGAAGGTCTGGGTAACGGAGTTCCGAGCGCCAAGATACTGAGAGGGAAGGGTAGAAGAACGCGCGTGAAGACCTTGGACGCTGCCATCTCCTCGAACTTGCGTGGCGAGTGTGTGGTTGCGCTGGCGTGTCTTCTGCTCTCCTAGCTGCAGCTGACGGTCCAGGTCCCGGTCAAGTGAAGCAGAGAGCGCTTCTCGATGGAGACCGAACGCGCCACCATCCACTTCTGGCGAGAACGCTTGCGCGACGCGATCCTGGAGGAGGTTGGCGGCGGCGTGAAAGTCGTCCTCCGACATCTGTGGCAGGCAGTCCAGAAGACGACGATTGACATCGCGCCCAGCGTTGGCACCCGAGAGACGAGCCCCAGCGGAATCTTGGAGATGACTTGACCCATTGCCAACGCCTGTCGCTACAGTGTTCGCTCTCTGTCTGGCATGGGCCTGAAGTATGAGCTGTTCCACCGGCGTGTAGCCATGTTGAGCGCTGTTTGCACGAAGACCCTGCATGCTCATCAAAGCGAGCTGAAGCTGGCTCGGGTCGCCGAGGATGCCGTTGGCGTTCGAAGGGGGCATTTGCTGGGGCAGGCGGAGATCAGAAGCGGGGGCATGGGAAGCTTGTGCATTCAGAGAGTCAAGGGTCGTAGTGCTCGGGGAAAGTTGGCTCAGCTTGTGCCGGCCAACGGCGCCCGAGAACGGGCCCTGCGGCTGGAGCGGCGAAGGACCTGAAGGGGGCGACAGCGCTCCGCCCAACTGAGCGAGCCCTAGGTTGTTCAATGCAAGCCCAAGGTTCGGGCTCGTTTGCAGCAGGGACAAGTCTGGACTGGCAAGCGAGGGTGAGCGGGGATCGCGCTGGTACTGGGTACCCTTCAGGTTCAGGAGCGCAGCTCGTGCCATGGTCAGGCGAGCAGGCGACTGTTCGTCTTCTCTCCCATGACGCTCAGCACGCTATGGGTCATCATCGTCAGGCGCTTGTCAGCGGGGAGAGTTTCAAGACATACCCGCAACTCGCGCTGTTCGGCCGTATCTGCAAATCGAACCGAGATCCTGGATCCAGCCTCACCCTTTCCCCGAACGAGCCGGCCATGCAAACGTTCGATGATATCCTCGGCCGCGGTCCGACTCTCTAGCCTAGAGGGAAGCATGTCAATGTTGACACCGCAGGTTGTTCCAGGAATGACGGCGTACCTAACGAAGGCAATGATCCTAGGGGGATCACTTAGGCGAGTCGTGAAGAAGCGGAAACTCATGATGCGGTACGGAGAGACCATCGCGCGGAGGGCGATCTCGTCAATATCGAGCGGCAGGCCCTCCATGTAGAGATTTGTCGACGCCTCGTCGCGGAGTTGCTCCATCTTGGCTTTGAACGAGTCTGCTGGTCCAGTAGCGCACGCGGAAGGCGCAGATGCATACGCCGTGCCCGGGATCTTGTGCACTTGCTACAAAACGATCAGATTGGGCTCCGGTCAAATCGTCGACCGTCATACCTTGGAGAACGAGGGATGCAGATTGCGATACTTGCGGAGCGATTCGATGCACTTTTCCGCAGAGGAGAGCTCTTCGAACCTGGATCAAATTTCTGAGGATGCGTGCCTCTAAGTATAATTAGGGCTCTCACTTACAGTACAAAGCCGTACCCACTGAAAGAAGGTCGCGTCAGTCATGTCAGGTCATAGCGAAAAAATCAAGAGCGAGATGTGCGTGAAAAGGAGGATAGCACATCAAATACATTGTTCGTGTCTAGCGAAAGATACTCACGAAGGCTTGTCGCTCACGTGTCGCGTGAACGTACGGACGCTTATGACGTTGCCATACACCCTCGTCATCGCGAGTAGGTCTTCCTCGGGGAAATTTGGCGGGAGACCGTTGATGTACACGTTTGGAGGATGAGAAGTGGAGCTCTGAGACGCCGCAGGCGCTACATTGGCCTGTTCCTCCTCCACCTTTCGACGAGCTGTGACGGGCACGAATGGGGGAGGAAGCGACTCTACTTGGCCGTTTCGTGAAGAAACATCCTGCGTAGGGGCTGCACGAACGGACCCGCTTTAGCGAACGCGCGCCGCAGGCGGTGAGAGATTGGACATACTCGGACTACCCTGCTCGCGCAACTTGTAGGTGGCTTGGGCATTGTCGAGATCAACAGCAGTGACTGCAGGAGCTCTGGAGGTGGGAGGACTGTCAAGTTCCGAGGATAGATCTTGTATGTCGATGGGCGTGTCCAGCAAACGCGACTGAAACTGGGGTGCGGCGGCGGAAAGCGTAGATGAGATTGAAAGAACAGAAGAGGCGCTTGGGCTGGGCTTAAACCGAGGAGACGACGCGACATTAGATGCAGAACGGGAGGAGGAATCGGGAGGCGTCGGCGGAGCGTGCGGGGGGCAAGTTGACGAGGCCGCAGGCGTGGACGGCGCTTCGCCAGGAGACCGAGGGAAAGTTGAAGAGAGCGAAGGAGAACGAACGGGAGAAAGCGGCGCGAGAGCGGGAGAGCTAGACATTGCTTTACGGTGCGAGGAAACGAGGCAGGTTCGGAAGGAGGTGTAGAGAGCGCGATTTAAAAGATCGGGGCGGCGAGTGAGAGAAAGTAGGGATGCAGAGAGTAGCTGTATTTGGATGAACTCGTCGTTGGATGCCGGGCGTGGAGACTGACTTGGAGATATTTACGGGGGTATGCGATAAGCTTGTACCTGTTCGATTAGGGCTGGGGCTGTCGGACGATGTGGGTGCGGACGGGGGAACGGGCGGGGGGCGGGGGAGGGCGGTATATATACCCAGTGGCGGAGGACAGGCCGTCCATCACGCCGTCTTCTCTTCGACAGCAGGAGCTGCGTCCATGCCACTCAGCCGTCCAGATCGGGGAGAGGGATAGCATCGTGCACCGCTTCGGGCAACAGCAGACGCCTGCGGGCGGCCAGCGGAGGATCCCCCACCGCCGACTGTGGCAGACACCCACCCAATCCGGCCCATGTTGCCACCGTCCGCCGCGAGCCCGGCCGGAACGCATGGGCCATGACGCGTGAAATGTGACGGCCTGCAAAGCGAGAAAGACCCCCGGTCTTCCAGCACGACGACGGCGAGCAGATCGGAGACCTCGTCACCCTTTGTGGACAATTCAAACTTATTCCTTCATGTCCGAATATGGCAACCCTCGCACTTGGGCGCCCATCACCGCCTCTCTCCTCAGTCCGACTCCTCCGGTGTTCCTCCCACCGGCCTTCATCTGCATCGTCCCGTGCATTCTCCGCCTTCCAACCGGCACAACAACCGGAACGTCATAGTACAGGGCGCAGGGCGTTGTGGCAACAGCGCCGAATCGACGACGATGCTGTGCCGGTGTATTCGGGCGCGCCACAAAATGTGAAGACATGGTCGATCATAGGCTTCGAACTTGAATCTCGTCATGTTCCTCCGATGTCGTTTCCCCTTCCAACAGGAGTATCAGGATCGTCCAGGGGAACTTCTATTGGTGCTTGTCCCTCGGGTCCGGGATGCTGCTCAACCGACCCGATGCTCGATGGACCCTTCCAACTTCGACTTGCTCGCTGCTTATCCGGCCTCAGCGCGCAGGCCGGTGTACAAGATCCATCGTCGGAGAGCCAACAGATCTGCACGACAACGCATAAGTACTGATGGGCGAGTAGTTGACCGTACCTAGATCGATTTTACCGTGCACACTACCCAGGAATATACAGATCACTACAGCCTGGATTGAGGAAGATAGGCATGATGCCTTCGATTCGTTCGAGAGTTATAACAATACAAATAGGCAATAACGATACACGGCAGGAATAATAACTCAGGGTGTCCGTGATGGCAGTCCAGATTTTAGAAGACAGCCAGCAGGAAGCGGGGAGGCAGCAGGGCCCCTGCGGTAGGTGAGAAGGGCTCGGAGTCATGCTTGGCTAGCCTCATGAGCGCAGGACGAAGACGGTTGTGACGGCGATGCCAGCGATGGCAAAGGTAGCTGTGGCAAGCATGACGAGGCAACGCTTGGCCCACTTGACCTCCGCCCGGCGCGTCGACTCGATGAGCTCCTGTCGCTCGTATTCCGGCTTCGTCGCCTCCCAGTCTGACGGCGCTTGCAGCGGCGAGAGGAGGATGAACGCTCCTGCGACCCAGAATAGAGGGAATACTACGGAACAGAGGGCATGTCAAGACGAGCCCAAAATCCTTCAGTGGGGAAGGAAACTCACGGAAGCCGAACTTGAACAGGTACATCGCGAGCGTAGGTTGGTCCGACACACTCGTGTACACCGGCGGCTCCACCGAGCACTCGTAGGGCGGAGGAGGGACATCTTCGACATCGATGAGCGTAGAGGAGCGAGCGTCGTCGTGCCGGCTATCCCGCGTTCCGGAAAGGCTGAGTGTGCGACGCGAGCTCGAGGAGCGCGGGGCCCCGAAGAAGTCATCGACGGGGTCGGACCGCGTCTCTTCGATGGACGCGTTTGCGCGTGCGGAGTGCGTGTGCGCCGGTGGGAGGTTCGGCAGTTGAGCCTCGATGTCGAGTTCAGGAGTGGCCGGGCGGTCAAAGAGACCGAAGATAGTCGGGCGTGAGGTGGATGCGGAGGAGGCAGGCATTGCAGGCGAGGGTATGCTAAGTGACATGAGAGGAATCTGGCTGTGAGAGTACGCAGGAGGCGGGTGGCGGTCTGAGCATGACTGCTGCTACCTCGCGGTATATATGCAGTCCTGGAAGCATAACCAAGAGGAGGTCTGTAGATGGATGGAGGCAATCGAGGGGTCCAGTCGCGTGTAGCTTTGCCGCGCGATCGGGATTGCATTGATCACTCGGCCACATTCAGGAGCGCCAAAGCGAAGTAAACATGCCCAAGCGCATGTCAATTCACCGTCCTCGCTTAGCTGGGTGATGCCGTGATTCCTGATGATCCGGGAAGTACCCACATTGCGCTCTCCCTGCGATCGAGACGTCCGTCGTTGGGCAAAAACTCTCGTCGAGAGGTGGGTCGATGGTGGGGAGTGGCGAAAAAGGTAGAAGCCCACCGCGGGGGTCGAACCCGCAGCCTTGAGATTTTATGACCAGGTGTGGCTCAGTCCGTAAAAGTCTCACGCTCTATCCGATTGAGCTAGGCGGGCCGTGGTAGCAATAGCAATGATGCTAATATAGAGCGTCAGGTGGCCCTAAGACACCGAGAATCAAGTACTGGATCGCGTGACGTCAGAACCCTCCTACCCAAATCCGTGCCACTTGGACAACGGATGCCTGCGTTGGTGACACTAACCTCAGTCTTGCTATCTCTCAATCACACGGGAGAGCTGCTTCATGTAGTATGACTTAGTAGTTGTGCATGTTCAACGTGAATCATCAACTTCAGTGATCGCGCCCCGCCGATGCAGTACGTGCGTTCAGATAGCCTGATGCATTGCGCTACACACTAATGATACAGTTGGTTTGCAAAACAGCTTCCTAAGTCCATGCAATTAGCGTCCCCATCACCGCATCCTGCGCTCCTGCGTGCCCATAACCGTCCCGCTCTTGTAGAGCTCGCCGGGCTGCTCAGCCTCGGACCCAATCTCCCTCGGGATCTCGCCCGAGCCAAACTGCTCCGTACCGCGCATTTGGCGCTTGCGGTGCGAGCTGCCATCGTGGTGCATCTCCGCGCTGCTCATGCCAGAGCCGGGGTGGCCGAGGCCGTTGTGCACGTCTTGCGACGTCGCGCCCGTGAGCGTGTCCGCCGCGGACGTGGGCGTTGCGTAGGGATCCTTGTCGATCACCGTACGCGAGTCGGGCGCGGGAGGGAGCGGCTGGTTGTCGTTGTGAATGCGACGGACTGGTGAAGGCTCACGGCCGCTCGATGCGCGCGAGTTGAGGATGTCGGACTCGAGGGCTATTGTCAAGTTGTGAGCGACGGTTCGCAGAGGCATCCGAAGAGCACAGAGACTTACTCCGTGGTGGGGCTTCGCGGGTACCGGGTGCGACACCTCCAGCGGGAGGCGCGTCACGGCCGGTCGAGTGAGGTAGGTGCTCCTGAGCGCGTTGTTGACCTGGATTACCATCGTCAGGTCTGATTCTACTTAAACTGCATATGATCGTTTACTCACCTCCGTTGGGGTCGATAGAGACAAAGTGGTGGCCGGTGGTCGCCTTGTCAGCGCCAGGGATCCTGCCCTTGCTGGCGTCACCGCCGACGAAGTCGTTGTGGCGGCCGAAGGTAGCGGGGGACTCAGAGCCAGACATGTTGAAGTGTGTGTTCGAAGAGAGGGGTCGTGAAAAGAGTCGTAAAACGATGAAGTGGATGAGAAGAGATGCGAATGAGTCGTCGAATGTGTTTGTTGGTGAGGACGACTTCCCCTCCCGCCCTCGACTTTATACTCGACCCCCAAGGCGGCTCTACGGTGGCGAGCGGTGGGACGGTTGCATCATAGACGTGAGTGGGTGCACGTGCGACGTCATAGTGGATAGTCGCGCCAAAAGCGGCAGGTGCAGTTGGGACCCCTTTCGTCGTTGGAACTCCCCAGAAAATTCACCCGGCCGAGCGCGCTCCATCCGACCCTCGCTGAACTCCAAAATGACAGAAGTGGAGGATGTGTGTAACATGCGCAGAGAGCGGTCTAGGTCGTTGCTCGTCAATTACAACAGTAACCACATATGGACTACGTCTACCAACTACGTGACCTTGACCTTTCGAACGACCCGCCTGGGCGTACCATCGTCATCTCTGACCCAATCCCGCACCAAGACGTACCCGCCTCGACGGGGAAGCCAGACGCACCACACATACCAGTATGCGACCCCGCCAAACGAGATCAACCACGCCACAAGCACGTGGAGCTAGAGAACGCCTGTTCGTCAGCTTTATACACTCGTAGTACGGGCCAAACGTACCCAGTAAGGTAGATATTCGTATACGCGATATCCTCGAGCGGGAGGTACGAGCGGAACGGCGACGAGGAAGATATTGGAGAGGAAGAAGAAGAGAACGATGGGCGTCCAGGCGCGGAACGGCGGATGCCAGTCGTAGGACGCGCGCAATGCACGCAGTCGTTTGGGGAGAAACGTGTCCGGCAGGTGTATGAATAGTAGCCCTCCGGAAACGAACATATTGATGAGTGCAAGTGGGTATGATGACACTAGACATTCGCGTGTATTAGCGTGAGCGTGCAATATAGGCATCGAGTAATCCTCACGATTTAGCATAAAGAGATATGCATCTCCTGGAGGAACGAGAAGCACTAGCCCGGATGTCACCAGCCACTGTTCAAACAGCCCGGCGAATGGGGCGTTGAAAGGCTTATTACTTGCGAAAAGGGAGGAGAAAGGCAAAACGCCTTCTCGCCCGAGTTCTTGGACCACTGAAGTCGTCGTTATGAGAGTCTCTCTCTCTTGAACAGCTTGTGCTCAAAACGTACCTCGTCCATGGGTGAACAAGACGGCCAGGATGTTGCCCAACGTCGAAAGTGCGACAATCACGCTCACAACCTACAGCACCTCAGTGGACCGACATACTCGCCAGCATCGTCACGACAGACGGCCAAACTTACCCGTTCAGCACCTACGCCCCACAGCTTGCCAAAATGCAGCGCGGCCACAATCCGCCCGCTGCCGATGATCTCCTCTTTGTCGACGACCGCGAGATAAGCGACGTTGACGAGCAGGTACACAAGAGTGACGGATAGCATAGCCAACGGCGCCGCGCGCTTAATTGTCCGTACCGGGTCGCGCACTTCAGCGAGAGCGTAGTTCGCGTTTGAGTATCCGATGAAACACCTGGTGCGGGTGCGAAGCTCAGCACCTCAAGTTCTGGAAGGAGACGAGGGACGGGCGTACCAGATGACGTTGAACAGCCCCGTGACGAACGCGTTCACGCCTCCGGTCAGGGTGCCCTCCCACATCGTATCCCATTCAAAGTTCCTGGGAGGCTACACAGACCAGTCAACTTCAACGTTTCCTCCTGACGATAGCAAAGTAGGTGCTTACGTTCTCCAGTCTGAAACCCTTGACTTTCAGCAAGGACGCGAGCCCGCTGAACGCGATGCCGACCAGGACGAGGAGCTTGAACAGGCCGAGCGCGTTCTGCAGATGCAGCCCCGCCTTCAACATCGTACCGTGCAGCAGGAGCGCGGCGGTAATACAGAGCACCCCCGCGAAACGCGCGGTGTTGGGGGACGGGGGCTCGGATGGGTTCAGCGCATGCAGGGCATCTGTAGGTGGAGCGCGTCCGTCAGCAAAGTCGGGCCATGGAACACGTGTAGCGGTAAGCGCACATTCTCCGAACACCGAGCACGATGCGGCTTGCCACCCCTGTCGCGGATCAGAAGCATGAGAAGGACGCATATTGTAGTACTCTCGGGAGGGCGTGGCGCGTACCGTCAGAACAGCATACATCGCATATATGCAAGTGACGAGGAGTTTGGGCCGTTTGTAGATGAACTCCAAGTAGTTCTTCTCCCCGCCATTCCGAGGAAGTCCCTATTGCGACCAACGGTCCATCAGTAGTCGCGTCATGTAGTACGGTGGCGAATCGTGGGCGCATCCTCACCGTTCCGAGCTCAATGTACACCGCCGTTCCGCACAAGGCGACCGTGGCTCCGAGGAGCCACATGATGAGCGAGAGCCCGACGCTTCCTGACGAGCGGAGGATCACACTTGGAGTGGCGAATATGCTACGCATTGTAACGGCAGTTCAGTATCATGTAAAGAGGGCGCCGAGAGTAGTAGGACGAGACTAACCCTGTACCTATGACGCGGTTGAAGATGAGGGACGCGGCGCTACCGAGTCCTGTCCGCGTAGCAAGCGCATTAGTTGGATTCGCCATGCGTACCACACTCCAGACAGCCCTGACCTAGCTGTCGTTTGTGGTCGGGTACGTCCTCCACTAGATACCACAAGCTCTGCTCAGTCTAAACGCCGCCCGGAGATCCTAGATAGAAGGAAGGAGCTTACAACCAATGCCACCCTCGTCGTCCTGATCTAGCAGAGGGGCCGCACGTACATCGACAGAGGCGTAATTCTTTGACGCGTCCGACGCCGAGTCGTCCACGTTATCCACCACGGAGCCTCCGAGCAATGGCTCGCGTTCGGGCGCGCGCGACCCTGCAGCTGACGTCCCTGCTGTGGAAGCCATTCACGCGCGCGGTTGTGTTCGTTTGCTCTCTTCAGTTGCCCAGCTTCCCGAGCCCCGAGCCTACTGATCCCTCAGGCTGTCGGGTAGGACCTACGGGGGAATGGCAGTGATGGTCAGTATGCAAGGGGAGAAAACGCTTATCTATACGGTATGGTATGTACACTTACGGCACCGCGTGCGCGTTCCCACCTGGTGTCTGCATGTGGGTGTCGAGCATCTCTCAACTGGACCAAGGAGGATAGTGGCGCACGCAGACGCGAGGAGGTGCAATCTCACGCAAGGATGACGACGGGCCGGCGTTGACCGTGCGAGCACTCCAGTCCACGTATAGTTAGACGCAGAACTAGTCTCCCCTAGGCAGACGTCCGTTGTGCAAGCACAACGAACGTCTGCTACGTAATCTGACCCTTTCGCAGGAGGTCGCCAATTCTTGAGCGGTTCAAACTCCGCGTAGCGCCCTAGCGAATGCCCTCCCGTTGTTTGACCGCAATGCACGACCTATCGCACAATTTTTGCATTGAACGGTAGCAGAAATCAGATATGTAGACTCCTGAGGCCTTAATGTCCTCGCTCAGACCTTTTACAACGCAGAAGGTCCTCTTGGGGATTCCCTCGGCCTTCACTGGACACGAGCGCTTGACGCCTTGCCACGAGGAGGATTGATGGCGCTCTGGCAGATGACCAATGAGAGGACAGCGGAGTTGACGGCCATCACTCGGCACTGAGAATCGGGGACCTCCTCTCAACCCCTCACATTACGCTGCAGACTAGACGCAGAACTACAAGCTTATAATTCCAGACCTCATGCCTCGGGCAAAGAGACGATCTGGATGGCTAAGCAAGCGAACCAAAGACGTTCTGAGCGACAGCAGAGACCGGGGAGATCGTCTCTAGTCAAGAGACCGGACGTCGTGCGCAGTACTCACATCTGGCACTACAGTACCCTCTCAATTGGGCTAGCCCTTGCAAAGCTACTCATGTGAGTGACCATGTGAGATCGATTCGATCGA